TAGCTCACTGTGACATGAAAACAGAAGGTTAGGAAGACAAATATTTCATGATGATTTTCATAATGTGTTTGTCAGTTTCATTTAGAGATTTTTCCAATCCAGTCGCAGATTACTGCATTCAACACCAGTGCCAAAACAATGCCAGGTGCATAAACCATCAAGTGAACTACACGTGTGCCTGTAACTTATCTGGGTGGACTGGAAACTTCTGTGAGCAAGGTAAATTCAACGCTCGATTCTTTGCTTCCAATCATAAAAACCAAGTTTAACTGATTGAGAGACAACTCTTTCCACTATTTTATCAAGCAAGGCGCTAAAAGATTATCACACATTCCCATGAATTTCGGAGTGCGCCAAAGGTATGTTTGTTATCAGTTAGGCTGCTACATGGCCTACAACAGTAACACGTCTCCTATTTTTTGTCTATCCACCCAGAGCCAGAGTTTAAAGCTGTCTTCACAAACCTTGGTTCGACTGCAGCTGATGGTCCAAGCTCAATTGGCAGTCACTATACCGGGCAAGATCATGACGGACAAGTTACCGTGTCCAGCGGTATTCAATTGTGGACTGTGCCATACTCTGGAGAATATAAAATAGAAGCAATAGGAGGTGCAGGGTGGTACGGTAAGAACAGTGTCGTCCAGAACGGAGGAAGAGGAGCCAAGTTGATTGGAAACTTTATTTTGACCAAAGATGAGATCATTCGTATACTTGTTGGACATAAAGGAAAGAGAGGGCCTGGCTCCATAACAACTACAGGAGGCGGGGGAGGTACATTTGTGGTGAGAGGAAGCAATACGCCTTTAATCATAGCTGGAGGTGGTGGGGGAATTAAAAACATGTCAGAGCGACATTCAGGATGTGATGCATCCCTAAGCACCACAGGGAATGCAGGGTACTCCTCGCCATTGGGGTCAGGAGGAACTGGCGGAAATGGAGGAGGTAGCGCTGGTAATAGGCCAGGTTAGTAAAATGAGATTTACCCAATCATCTTCAAACTAGGGGTACTGTGAGATGAGTTACAAAAACCCATATTTATGGCAATCATTGGGGCTTATGCATTGGAAGCATACACGCCAATAAGTCGAACACTTTGCAAAATCTTAGTTCACTTGAATGTAGCTCGTTCTCTTAAATTCTCATCGCTCTTGCGCTCATATTACATTATTTTAAAGCCACCAAGTTTACGAATACACTCCAGGTCATAAACGTAAACAAGATGGACATTTGCACAGTTATCAAGAATGTTGATTAATTACGAATTTGGGTTATACAGCAAAAGCATTGCAGGAATAACACGGACTTATTTTGAACAGGGATTCGATTTTCGTAACTTGCTTTTCAAGTCCTCTAAGGCAAAGCATCGAAAGACATAGAACTTAGTTGTAAATAAAACAAAAAAGGTATTCTCCCGCCATTTATATAGATGAGCTCAGGTACCATTTAAGAGATTCACTGGACATTTCTTTTATCGTTTTAGGTGGCGGCGGCGGCGGCTTTTATGGTAATGGGGGAGGAGGAGGTAAAGGTGGCAAAGGATTTCTCAATGGTGGAAAGGGTGGAACGTATCACGGTGGGTTCGGAGGTGGCGGCGGAAATCCAGCTTACTCTGGGGGAGCTGGCGGCGGTGGAGGTTACTCTGGGGGAGCTGGAGGTGTTAATGAAGATCCCTCTTGTGGTGGTGGAGGAGGATCTTTTAACAGTGGAACAAATCCGGAAAATGAATGTTGTTATAATACGGCTGGAAATGGTAAAGTGACTATCACCTTTATCGAGTGAACAATGCACATGGCAACAAAACATTATTGTGGAATTTTACACAATTTCATAATTCTTAATATATTGAAAAAATATAAGACAAATTACGGCTTCTGTCATATCGTGATATTAGTATATACACAGGCAATCTCAGAAGAAATAGTGCACCATTCGATTTACTTGCACATTCACAGAAGGCATTAAAAATATCCATCGGAAAGTGCAGCTTCATGAAACTTTCACGAAATTTCAGTTTCTCTATGGCAGTGTACACTTGAGAATGCTCCCCTAAGATAACTCTAAGTTATTTTATCTAGTTGTATTTGTATTCGAGTGAATTGTCAAATATAGATGTGGACTGCATTAACACGGAAGTGAGATTTTGTAATACCCAGTAGTTAGGTGTTCTACATTTACTTACGATAGGCAGGCCCCAGAGCTCAAGTTGGTCTATTTTTACTTCCCATCATTTTATCCGAACTTCCTTCAGGTTGTGGGGTTCATTTGAACCGAGTAAACGAAAGACGGTTCGGCTTTATCACCTTCCGACCACCGTGCATGGTTATCATCTTTACCTAGGTATGGTGCTCCGCTTAGACCCTCTGCGCGCAGCAGCCTCATTTGTCTTAATTCTCATTACCTATATGCTACACAGTGTCTTATAAATGTTAGAGGAAATTAAAATCTGACCACTCTCGTGAGATAAAGGGTGTAAAAGATAAGAGCAGCAGCTGGTAACACATCTTGATTGAAAATTCAACTTGTCCTATTATCACTGCGTCCAAATAAGCGCTTACTGTGAACCGAAGATGCTATGCTTTTCCTGACTTCTGTACATTTCCGCAACCTAGATTTAAGGGAAACTAAAATTTCTAAAGGCGTTCCGAAACAATTTTCTGTGATTAGGGACGATTTAGAAGTAGCGGAACTTACAATCATACACGACACCTGCAAAATATGAACTCAGAAACTGGTTCAGGGAACTAAAAAGCTCATTGAAGGTAAGTTTGTAGAGCTTCTTTTAACATTGGAACAAATCAACTAAACGAATGTTGTTATAACTGCGATGAACGTAATAAAGTGATTATCACATTTCTTCCGTGAAATGGACATGGCGACACAATCCTCAAAGTGAAGCAGATATTCTTTTCTCAAACCTCAAATTTGAAAAATCTTCTGATTTTTTATTAAGAGTTTGACGCTAACCTTTCAATTTTTTTGCTTTCGAGTTCAGAGTTTGAATTAACAAACAGTATTTGCTGAAATAGGTTTTTTCGTGGATACATTTTGACCGTAGGGAATTTATCTCCTGCAAAACCTAAAAATTTTGTTCCTTTTCCGGCTCTTTTCGGAGCATTACAGACGTTGTGTTTGAGTATTTATAGAACGCAAGTGTTCTGTCTTCAACTGTGAAGGTCATTAGACACAAACAATGCTAATTACGAATTGTTTTGAATTAATTGTTTCTAGAAATTGATAGTTTCAAACTAAAGTTTGGTTAAAAATCAATAAATTGGTTCCTAGCTGTCAAATTATAGCTGTTTGTTTTTCATTAGACTTGAGTTATAACATTTCACAACTTAAAAGCAAGGTTTCTTTGGGAAAGAGCCAGGTAGTATATTTTATCGGAAATACGAGAATCTACAATATTACGACAACTGTTTTCTTTGCTGGTTTCTCCGTCCATTAGATCCTATCCTGTTTCACTCTCTCTCAAACTCATTGGCTCTGTCCTGTTTCACGGGTAAAGCTTTTATTGGCCTCGCTACCAGCCACCTGCACAATATGCATTGTCTGTTGTCAATCGTCAAACCACGCATTCGCAAAGGGTTCAATTTTGGCCAGCCCGCGTGCCAATTTCCCGCGTGAATTTTCAAAGAAGAACATTAGAAAGAGCGTTTTCACATGAAATATTTGAAAAAAAAATTAAATGTTCATGGAAATCTGTAAACGGGGACAAAAGTTGGGAAAGTCGAGACTTTCGAACACGAAGCTAATTAAAATTGGGTATCCTGTTGACATATTTATTAATTTATTTCAGGCTGTCAGTCAGAGAGTATTACGTCTAGTACAGCTTATGTTTTGTATTTTCGTTGCTGTGCATAGCAATTAAGTCCAAAATGGTTGTTTTGTGCAAATATCTCTAAAAAAAGAAAAACGATTGTAAAATTCACGGTTGGACACGGCCAAGAATCTTTTGTCCCATTTCCTGTCAGTATGCAGTTAACCATCCCAGACAAAGCAAGATGAGGTTAAAATTTTGGAGCTAGTATCTTCTTTGACAGGAGTAATCCGTTTAAAATCAACCAAGGGTAAGCAGCCAAAGTTTCTCGGTGTTTGCATCATGAAAATATGTAGCATT